ACTAACGTACCTTAGACTCATGGTCAAGGGGACTTGAAAGGTGTTCGCACTGCAAGTGCATGGGTCGTGACAAGTAATAAAGTGAAGAGAAAAGATCGTTCCCACGGAGATTTGTGTAAAAATCAAGACCAAAAAAAGGCTAAGTGAATTTAATTAAGTTGAGCTAACCAATTCTTTTATGGGAAAAGTGAATCTTGAAAGTAACTCTTAAGACTAAAAAGTAATAAAAGCGATTGATTCTTAAACTTCAAGAAATAAAAGGGCCTAGGATTATTCATTCCTTTTGTATTTCATAACCTTTGAATTATCTCCTCTCATAAATGTTTTTAATGAAAATATGTTAGTCTAGGATTCAAAAAGTACTTGTAAAAGCTTTCTCAAGTCAAGCACAAGTATTTAATTCCATTAATTGCTCAATCTCTTATTACAATTAATAAAACCAAATTTTTAAGCTTCAATCCTATAGTGACTATGCAAGGTTGGTAAGTATATCTCTATCTTACCAACAAAACCATCCATTCAACAAGCAAACTTCAAATTCTTGCACAATTTTACCTAAGTTCTATACTTAACCTAACCTTCTCAAGTATCAATCAAGTGAACAAAACAACTAAATGAAGATCAAGCATTTAGAAGCATTAAGAAATGAGTAAAATAAACGCATATATATCATTCATCACAAAGTAAGAGGAGTAATCAAGAGTTAATCCATACAAGGGTTCAAAATAATCCTAGAATGAAGTGTTTAGTGTAACATCTTAAATTCTACTCTAAGGATTTAAATATTAAAAAAAAAAGGTTCCAAACTGTTATTTTCTCCGTTTTACCTAGGGTCTTTAACTTCAATTTACCCCTAGTGTTTTCTTTTTACCTTCTCCCCGTCTTTTTCTCCTTCTCCTTCTCTCTCTCCGCGTTGCTTCGTTCGCTCGCTCACTCGCAGCGTCGCTCTCTCTCCCTTCTCTCTTCATTGTTACAGATCATTTTGGTAAGTAAAACTACTTCTAATTACAAAACTCTCTTCATGAAAGTTGTTCTACTCAATCAGATCTATCTAATGATAGTAATTTTATATTACTTAGAGAAAATTTTTGGTATAGAATTTGGAGCAAGTATTTAGTTTTGATGAGTGTTAACCACAGTATTGTAGATCTGTTATAGTAGATCATTTCTACCGGTTTAGATTTGTCCATTTGTTGATTTTAGTATTTACAATTAATTTTTAATAAAAAAATATGTTATTTATGAGATATATTATATTTATACCGATTAAAATTAAGTTAAATAATTTATTTGAGTTATTTGATATATTATTGAAATTTTAATCGGTTTAGTTTTGTTTATTGGGTGACTGGAGGTTTTAAAATAATTATTGTAGTTAAAGCTCATTATTTATGCAAATATATATATGCCATTAAATTTTGATTAGATTATTTATATATATAAATATTTGAGACACTATTGAATTTTTGATGGTTCGGTTTTGAGGTTTAAATTTCAAATGAGATTTTTATAATTTAGAATATAGTAATTTCATATTTAGAAATTTTGGAAAATTCTTCTTATTAAAGTAAATAAGTTGGAGGATGTAAATAAATAATTTGGCTTGTTAGAAAATTATCAGTTAGTTCTAAATACTTAATTTTGGATTATAAGAGTTGTGAGAATTTAGAATGAAAATTAAATTAAATTAGGAATTTAACTAATATATAAGCTTAATAAATTAATTAGTTAGTTTATATTAATATGTGGTTATATTAATTGTGTAGATTAATTATTGGTTGAGCAAAGATTGACCTCGTGGTAATCCTTCTATTACTTTGGCGAGAGGTAACCACTTTCCACTTGTTATATGTGCTAATATATTGTTTGTGAGTATTTTGCTATTTTTAGAATAATAGTTGATATTTGGAACTTGAGTAGATATGTTATATCTTTTGAGCTATGAAAATTGTCTTGTGGGATTTTTGGAATTGTGATTGAGAAGTTTGGAAAAGATATATGATTTATATCTTATGGATTATACTGAGAAAAGATTGAGACATTTTTATTATATTGTGAATGATTGGTTGTTATTTGGATTTGGGATTGAGTCCTATCCTACCACGTGGTAAGGCCGCCATTGGTGCACATTGGTTGGCTTCTTCTTTCGTCCCCCATAGTGAGGGATAGGCCTTCGTGGCTTCTTATTCGTCCCCCAAAGTGAGGGATAGGCCCATATGTTTGATTGATCCCCCAGAGTGAGGGATAGACTTATGTGGCTTGTGTGTTGACCCCCATAGTGAGGGTTTGGATGATTGAAATTATATTTTTATGGATATATCTATGTTTCTCGAGAATTAATAACTATCCCACTTGACACCTCACGAGCACGTGTTAGTATGTATGATGAGTTGGAAAGCTGGTTACTGAGGCATTTGTCTCACCCCGTGGTTTAACATTTTTCAGGCGATAGTTCATGTGGTGGCCCATCAGGGAAGGCTCTGGAGGCATAGTGTGCTGTTATAGCTTGTATAGCCTCCTTGCTTTTGTTCTATGTGTTGACTTGTTATATATTGCCACATAGGACTCATCTATTTTGATGTTGTGAACTAATACATTTGATTATTGCTAATTGATGAGAGAGCTGTTAGAAAGCCAGAGGCTTCTGAGACGTTGCACGTGACATTCGTTTGAAAGTATAAGTTTTTGTTTGGGCTAAGGGTGGAATGATATTTCTGGACTTTGATAGTCCAAGGCCTAAGTTAAGTATCGATGTGCTCGTGATATAAGTTTATTTCTTTTAACCATGATAGTGATTTTAAAATTTTAAGGTTTCTTCTTTTCTATCATGGTTAATCTTTGGAATAAATTGTTGAATTTCATCTATAATGGTTTTGAAAGAACAGTCGTCACATTTAGCTACTCATAAACAACCACAGGCCACAACTATAAAGAAAAATTACAGCCATAGCAGATGACAAGGAAGGAAAGGGAAGAATAGCAGGAAAACCAAGAAGAAAGAGCTCCAAATCTCTTCTAAAACTTAATTCCTTGCTCCAAGTTCTTCAATCTCCCAAAGCCCTAGCACACCAACTCCCTTTACGTCCAGATCTCCTTTTTTCGGTCCTTTTTCTCCCTTTTTTATCACGTCTACTGACATAAGATGTGTGTTGTCCTCAAAACGCATAGCACCAGTAATCTCCCATTGGCCACAGCCAAAGCTTTTCTTGGCTGCAGCCAATTCCTCTCTGTCTCTTCTGTTGGCTGCAGCCAAGAATTCCTGCTGGCTAAGGTGAGCAACTCACTGTTTTGGATCTTTTCTCTGTTTAATTAATTTGCTTCAATTGGCTCCCTTAGCAGGTTTTAACTACCTAACAAAACAAAACAAAAATGTGAAAGCCAAAGTTGATGAACTGGGAGCAACATATTAACAATTAACCATAAATCCGTAACTTTAGCCCAAGTATCAACTATGCACATTTTCCTATCATAAATGCTTCCAAATATGCACTAATTCACCAAAAAGTATGATAACTAAGGCAAAAGGTGCTGAAATAACATGAAGTTCACAAGGTTAACAAAAGGTTGTAATGTTGGAAAGCATGACCAAATGAATGAAATGAACTAACAAGTGAAATGCATGAGTAGTATAGTATCAACTCAAGTAAGCTAAAGTACAATCATAAAAGAACACCAAAGTGCAGATTTTAAAGATTTTAAACTTTTAAAACAGAAATCCTTACTCTTCAAACCACCATTGAATGCCTTATTTCAAATTTATTCTTTTGTTGCAACTTATTTTCTTTTTCTATAACTTTCTTCCTTTGGCTTTTTCTATACATTTCTTTCTTTATTGCCTTTTTCTATTTCTTTTTCTTCTTTTGTATTCTTTTTTTCTCTCTTTTTTTTTTTGCTTTTTTTTGGGCATCTAAACCCAAGGAGTCAAAGATATAGACTTTAATGATGTACTTTTCAAAATGAAAAACCAAATGTAACTCATGCAAAATATTTGCTAAAAAGCAATGAGTGAAATGAAAGTGAAGGCTCAAAGAGGTAAACAAAGGTTAAATGAAGTAGCTTGTGTTTAGGTAAAGGGTTTAGAAATGAATGCCCTTATCATCCTCACAAATCTGGGTATTAATGCAGCTTTGAAAAAGAATCTAGATAAGTGCTAGAGGTTAGCCAAAACTAGGAGAAAATCACATAAGATAAGAAAGAATACATGGCTCAAAAATCCTTCTATCAAGGCTTTCTCCAAGATGTTTCCTCCTTAAGGATCAAGCTATGAAACAAGGTTAATAACACTACACCAAAAGCATTCTACTATGCTAACCAACTAAGAACATAGATCACTTAAATCAAATGCAATCAAACTCAGTCGTGCAACATTCACAAGTATTATGTAAAAGGATTTTAAAAGAGATGCCTAAGGATTACAAAAGTCAAGTCAGCAATAGAGAAAATAGCAAATCGCCCATACAGTAGTGCAAAACACTGAGGCGAGTGAAAATAGGAGGACACATAAACTAGTAGCAAAATTCCTAAGTAAGAATCACTCTTAAATCATGTGATGTAATTCCAAAAGCAACTAATAAGGCAAAGGAGAGAGCAATTATAGCAGCAATACTTAGAAAATAGGAGCAAATCCAAAGGCAAACTTTTTTTAAAAAAAAAAAAAAAAAATCATCTCAACAACTCAACAACAATCCCTTCCCCACACTTGATCAATACATTGTCCTCAATGTAAGAAAAATAACATTATCTTAACTTAAACTCTCAGGTGAAATGGAAGTTGTGAAGTCCGATTTGAAATCGAAGCATGACACATCACTATCACAAAAAAGGGAGAAGGGAGAGATAGGAGAAGATAATGTGAAATGAAAACGGACAAGTATAAATCAAGTGATCAAAAGAGATGATAGAATCAAGAGGAAACAAAACAAACAACTACTAACAGAAATAAACAGCTACAACGACAACTACTGGAAAAGTTCCCTCCCCCATACCTACTCCTGACCATCTCAGCAAATAGATATCACCAGCAATACAATAGGAAGTAAAATAGTAGGGTGGAAGGGAACAACCATATGATCAGGGGGTCTTTGCTCCTCATAGTAATGCTTCAGCAGATAGCCGTTGACTTGTAAAGTTATACCGGTTTCCTCATCTACGAGCTCTATTGTGCCAAAGGGATATACTTTAGTAATTTTAAATAGACCTTCCCACTTGGTGACAAACTTCCCAAGCATCAGCTTCAACTGGGCTTTAAACTTTAGAACCTTGTCACCTTCATGAAACTGCTTCCTCAGAATTTGTTTGTCATGAATAATTTTCAGCTTGTGTTTGTAGATTCTGGCATTGTCATAGGACTCAGGCCTCATTTCTTCAAGTTCTTGGAGTTGCATCTTCCAATTGACAAGTGAAGATTCGAGATTTGCATCACATGCCTTGATTGCCCAATAAGATTTGTGCTCGATCTCCATAGGCAAATGGCAAGCCTTGCCATAGAGCAACCGAAAGAGCTTCCTTAAGCCTTTCACTTTAGTCCTTACGAGATGGTTTCACAATCTTCTCAAGTATTTACTTCACTTCCTCGTTAGAGACTTCAGTTAACCCATTCGTTTAAGGGTAATAAAGAGTGGCAAGCTTGTGATTGACTCCATGTTCAGCCAATAGAGACTTAATGGTCCTGTTATAGAACTGTGTTCCTTTGGTCACGATGATTACTCTTGGAATGCCATACCTGCAAAAGACATGAGAACGTAAAAACTTGGCAACCATAAAAGCAAAATCTTTCCTAGTTGGCACTGCCTCTACCCATCGAGACATATAATCTACTGCAAGTAATATGTATAAAAACCCAAAAGATGGCTAGAAGGGACCTATAAAGTCTATGCCCCACACATTAAAGATTTCACAAAAATGCATATGTCTTAGAGGCATCTCATGCTTTCTACCTAAACCTCCAAACCTCTAACACTTATCACAAGACTTGTAGAAAGAATAAGTATCCTTGAATAGAGAAGGCCAATAAAAACCACACTCTAAGACCCTTTTAGCAGTCCTATTAGCATTAAAATACCCCTCGCAAGATAAAGAATATGCAAAGATAAGGATAGAGTAGATCTCATTGTTTAGAACATAGCGTTTGATGATCTGGTCACTGTATTGCTTTCATAGTATTGGAGCATCCTATATAGTATCTTGCCTCCCTCTTCAGCTTATCAATATGAAATTTTAACATAGAAGGAGGAACAAGGTCAGCGACAAGATAATTACCTATGTTAGAGTCCCAAGGCTCTTGAACAACTAGGGAAAAAAGTGTAGAATTAGGAAATAAATCAATAACAAGATCAAAAGAGTCAACTCCTTGTGTGCCTTCAGGTAACCGACTAAGGTGGTCAGCTATATGATTCTCTGCTCTGGCTCTATCTCTGATCTCAATATCAAACTCCTGTAACAGCAAAGCCCATCTCAGCAATTTAGGTTTAGATTGAGGGTTCTTAAATAGGTACTGAACTGCTACATGATCTCTAAAAACAACCACTCGAGAGTCTATCAGATACTATCTAAACTTATCCAAAGCAAAAATAATAGCAAACAATTCCCTCTCTATAGTGGTATAATTGACTTGAGCGGAATCAAGCATCTTGAATGCATATGCGATAACTCCAAATTGTTTCTCCTTCTTTTGTCCAAGCTTGGCACCTACTATAAAGTTAGAAGCATCACAAGATAATTCAAAATGTAAATTCCAGTTAGGTGCAATGAGAATAAGAGGTGAAATAAGCATAGATTTCAAGGTGTCAAAAGCATGTCTACACTTGTCATCAAATTTAAATTCAACATCCTTTTTTAACAAGGTAGAAAGAGGCAAGGCAACTTTACTAAAGCCCTTAATAAAGCGCCAATAGAAACTTGCATGCCCTAAGAAAGGCCTTGAGTCCTTTAAATAAGTGGGATAGGGGAGCGAGGGATGAAATAACTTCAATTTTGGCTTTGTCAACTTCGATCCCTTTTTGGGAGATGAGGTGACTTAAGACTATCCCTCTATCAACCATAAAATGACACTTTTCAAAGTTTAAAACCAATTTCTTATCAATACACCTCTCAAGAGCCTGCTCTAAGCTATTCAAGCACTCATCAAAACTCTCACCGTAAATAGTGAAGTCATCCATAAAAACTTCCACATTATGCTCTAGAAGATCACTAAATATCACTATCATGCACCTTTAAAAGTGCCTGGAGTGTTACGTAACCTAAATGGCATCCTTTGATAAGCAAAGGTACTAAAAGGGCATATAAAAGTAGTCTTGTTCTGATCTTTAGGAGCAATAAGCACTTGAAAATAGCCAGAAAAACCATCTAGAAAACAATAGTGAGACTTTTCTAAAATTCTCTCTAACATCTTATCTATAAAAGGTAATGGAAAGCGGTCCTTTCTCATGGCATCATTCAACTTCCTATAATCTATACACACTCTCCAAGCATTTTGAACCCCAGTTGGAATCAGCTCGTCATTATCATTTCTTACTACTGTGACATTGCTCTTCTTTGGTACTACTTGCACTGAACTTACCTACTCGCTATTTGATATGGAATAGATGATCCTAATACTCAACGACTCAGAGACTTCCTTTTTAACCATATCCAGAATGAGAGGATTCAATCTCCTCTGTGGTTGCCTAACTGGCTTGGACCCCTCATTTAAAAGGATCCTGTTGATAACCTCTCAAAATTCCTACCGAATTAAGCTGATTTAACATTCTTTTATTGGGTTTATAAGTCAATTTTGCAGGAAACAAAGCTTGAGGAGAGTAAAGAATGGAGAAGAGCTGAAAAGAAGCCATCCGCCGCGGCCTTTGGAAGAAAACACCGCAGCGGATCAAACAGAAAGGGAGGACTGCGCCTCTGTGAAATCCGCCGCGGCGCCCAAGCTACCTCAGAAGAAACCTGTTCGGTGAAATCCGCCGCGGCCGATTATCACGTGCGCCGCGGTGCCTAAGTCACAATGCCATTCTGTAATAGGCGCCGCGGCACCTGAAGGAATCTGCCGCGGCGCCTGGCCCCTCGCAGTTGTGCGTTTTACTTGCTAACTTAAAAAATTAGGGCATATAGAGGTGGAGACGGGGTTTTCTGGGGGGAGTTCGACTTTTGGAGCAATTTTGGAGGCTGGCTCTGCTAGGGTTTGGAGTTTTTGGAGGCTTGAAGCTAGAAGAGATTCAAAGCTTGTATCTTGAATTTTCTGGGTTTCCTTCTTCTTCCCTTCTTGTTTCTGCTATGACTACTAGATACTCTTATAGTTGTAGATATTTACTCGATATGTATAGCTAAATCCGTTTTTCTAGGGTTATTTTGATCTATTGTATGGATTGAGACTTGGGTTCTACTATCTCTTTAGTGTTAATGATAATATTCAGTTGTTTTTACTATGAGCTTAATGCTTCCTTTTGTCTGGCCATCATTTGGATTGATTGATTGATTAGTTTAACTTGAGAAAGTTAAACTAATTCGTGAACTTTGGTAAAAACATGCTAGTCCAGAAATTTATTTGAGTGAATAGATGGTTTGTCGATTGATCAGAGATGTATCTGTTGACCTAGCATAGATTAAATGGGTTTTGGTTTTTAAAGAGCAACCTTTTCAAACAATTGCAAGAGATTGCTGTGTTTTAATTGTGTTTGCAACATTTGGTTTTGACTTGAGAAAGCTTAATCAATTCTATAAACCCAAGCTAACTGAAATTATTGGAAAGCACTACTTGAGAAGTAATTAATCCAGTTTCATGAAGTACTTTAGTGAAGAATAACCCTAGTCTATTAATTGTTTTAAGGTCGATTTGATTTTATACTGCTTTAAACCATTGTTCTCTTAACTTTCATTTCACAAACTCTTTTACAACAATTATTTCTCTTAACCTAATCAAATACACAATTATGATTTTTCAACTCATCTAGCCTTAGTCTCTGAGGGAACGATACTTTTTATATTACTTGCGACCCGTCCACTTGCGGTCAAGTTATTTGGTGAACACCTGTGTGTGCAAACTGAGGGATTAATCCCTGGAATGTCTCCTAAAGACCATCTTATAGCCCTTTTATAACTCTTCAACACAGAAATCAATCTTTCTTCCTCAGAACTACTCAAAGAACTGGAAATAATAACAGGCAATTTAGAATCAACAGCAAGAAAGACATATTTCAAGTTAGGGGGAAGGGGTTTCAATTCTAAATTAGGAGGTTACACAACAAGAGGAACTAATTCTTTGATGTCAAGTGCATTCAATACAAGTGGCATGTCCATGTGGCTTGGGGAAGGAGATATAAGCTCATCATGATGTGTATGTTCTCCACTTCCTAACTCAGTGCCATTCTTGCACAACCTACAAAAAGGAGGATCGATATTAGTCTTATCAACAGAAATATTAAGTAAATCACAAGAGTGGGATTAGAAGTGACTAAGTCAGTAGCAAGCTTATTGCTAGCCTCTTCTAATGTTCCAGCACCACTCAAAGGAGAAGCTATCGGTGTAGCTTGTGTAACAACTCCTTTATCATTAGTACCTGCAAAATCAACTAATTCACCTTTCTCAAGGCTGTCATCAAGTGTAATATTCAAAGTAGGATAACAGTTAAGACTAGATGATGCATCAAAATCATGAGAGATGAAAAGGAGGCGATCAACTTCTAAACAGTTAACACACACCACATCACCATGACATGAGCAAAAAGAAGAAGAATGAGGGGTAGATAAACAAGTAAATGCATCATCATGCTTAATAATCTCATCATACTAGTCATGTTCATACATCTCAAATTCATGCAAATCATCAACATTATTAAAAGCACAATCAATCAAATTAACACCTAAGTAAGAGCAATCTGCATAACCTTGACTCATAGCATCAGAAAAGTTGAAGGTGATCTGTTGGTCCCTGAAGCCCATGGTAATGACTCCATCTGTCATATTAATTATGGGTTGAGCTATTTTAAGGAAAGGTCTTCCTAGAATCAAGGTGTTATCGGCTTTAATCTCGTTAGTCATGCCTAGCACATAGAAGTCAGTTCGGAATACAAGACCCTTCACTTACAAAAGAATGTCCTCAAGAAAGCTTGTAGGGTGTCTCACCGTCCTATCAGTTAGACCTAGCACAACACTAGTGTCTTTTAAGGCATGTATACCCAAACTCTCATAAATAGAGGTAAGCGTAACATTTATGATAGCACGTAAGTCTAGTAAGGCATGTGAAATGTTTATTTTGCCTATGGTACAGGAAATAGTGTAGGAACCCAAGTCTTTACACTTAATAGGTAGCTATGGCTCGACGATAGAACTAACACGAGACCCTAATTGGATTCTCTCACTATGCCTATACTTCCTCTTGTTCGTACATAGGTCTTTTAGAAACTTAGCACATTTGGGCATTTTCTTAATCAAATCAAGTAATGGCACATTAACCTCAAATTTGCTAAACATTTCAAAAA